TATGAGTATGTTGCATCTAATTACCCACTCATGTCTTTGCTGCATGTCCTTTCTTTACTTCTATAACTTGTATAAAATTATTCAAATCAATTGTGTGAAATTAGCTAATGTAATACCATGTATGTGGAAACAAATCAACCAAAATCAATACTTCTATGATTTCAGCCATATGAACAGATATTTATACTTATGTTCTATTATCATCAGTAAGGTTCTTCAAAGAACACTCATTTTGGAGCCAAAATTCAAAGTTTAGAAGATTTGGTGTGTTCAGGCACTGACAGCAGTGCCAATCAACTTGCCATTAGAATAAGTATAGAATTTTATACTTTACAGTCTTTGTTAATTACTGACATAATACTTTTTGACAGAGCAATTATTAATCTTTTGGGGATTTGTGAATAATGAGTAAGTGCACAATCTGTATATCTTAATAAAACCTGTACAAGAGCCTAATACCTAATTTCTTTTACCAAAATATGGGTAATTCTGTGATTTTTCTGAGCAGTTACTATTAACAAATGCTGATAAATATTTAAGCCATGTTTCTTAATATTTTATCCTTTCAATGTAAAATTCTTTGGAGATTAAATAGTAACAGCAAGCGGTAAATATTTGTATATTGGGAAGTCATTCCTGTATCATTGTGTGATAATCTCTCAAAAAATGTTGAGAATTATTTCATATATTGAATATCCAGCCTGTGTTTCATTACAGACCAATGTGGCTGCCTACATTATAGTACCAAGCATACTTCAGCTTTATGATAGACCATAACAGAAACCAAAAAAGGCACAACCAATTTTTCAGCTTTTTTTGAAAATTCACGCACCAAAATTTGCTTTAAATTCACAAGGTTCTTATTACTTCACATGAGTTTGCTTGCTTGCTGTTTATTATGGAGACCTTCTTTTAAATTAACTGTGGAGATAAGTGGAGTCACCTGTTGGTAACCACACAAGTTGTTGATCACAATTACAGTTTTACCTTTGCTCAGGGCAGTATCTGAATTCATCTTTAAATTCTGTGCTGTCATACAGAATATATGCAACTCATGTTTAAAACGAGTTTATCCCAGCGCTAGCCGTTGTTTGTAAGTAGTATTTTAGGTAATGAAACTCAAATTTATGATTCAATATATTAACTCTTAATTAAATTTTTTAAAATAAAATCAGTGATGGGATTAGATTACCAGAATGTAAAGGTACGGGAGTCAAATATATGTCTTGTAGAAAATGAGACATAGTCTTAAAATACTTTATTTTCAATTCAATATGTAAATCAGTATTAAAATTATACTGATACATTGATTGGAATACAAATGCGAATATACAAAGCCCATGTGATTCAAGAATTGAATGTATTTATACAGGTGCTAATTGTATCGTGCTGTAAATCTTTAACATAAGTCTCTTATTTTTCTTTTAAGTTTTGAGATTGTTTATATGTACTATGTAGAAAAGTTGAACCACTTCTAAAAAAATTTTCTGTTTGACTTTACTTCATGCAGCACAAGAACTGAAACTTTAAACATTTTTATTATGTAAATTTTGGGAGGTTTTCAATCTCTTGAGAAACCTATAAAGAAAATGGAAGGACATACCTCTGGTGGTTGAAGAATTTTGACAGGAAATCAGAAGAGAACTAGAAGTTAGAGCAGAGTAGAAAAGACAGATTTTTTTTTTCCTAATACAGGATCTGAAGAACCAATATTGAGTACATTAATAGTAGTAATGATAAAATTGTGGTATGTTAAGAACTCAGCCCAGTAGAAACATGCAGTATTAGGTTCAGTATGTAAGTTTGAGCACACAGGCTATACATATATTTGTGTTGGTAGAATACTGTGCTTTATACTTGAACACCAAAAATGATACGTTTTGAACTACTTTATCTGTAAATAAGTATTTTTAAACACACAAATAATTACTCAAAGCGGTGTAGATTCTGCAAATAAAGTAGTAGGACAAAGCAATCTTTTTCCATAATTGCCCTTCCCAAAAGCTGGTTAAACACATATATATAGTTCCCATTTACATACATAAATGTAGGTACCTGGATTTTCTTGAGACATGCTTTTGAAAGTTGAGCACAGATATTGCAAGTGTGCACTTAAAAGAAAATGTCTGACTAAGACACTGAGCACAAACTAAGGTATAGAATGGATGCCCAATCCAGCCTGCATTGCTACCATGTTGTTAGAATAATTACATATTGGCTTAACTAATTTAGAAAAACTGCAGTACACCTAGCAAGACTGAAAACTTTCCAGGACTGGGATGGTGGGGTTTTTTAATTATTATTTTTTAGTGTAATTTAAAACAATACCTCTCCTAGCTGCC